TTTTTTTTTTTTTTTTTTTTTTTTTTTTTTTTTTCTGGTTTGGCAGGGGTGGAAGAGGTTGTTGAGTCAAGAATCGGAAGCTTGAAGAAGAAGGCCATAAATGCTTCTTCGAGGTTAACGCACTCGCTCAAGAGAAGAGGAAAGAGGAAAATAGACTTCAGGGTTCCCATTGAGGATGTGAGAGACGAAAGAGAGGAATTCGCTGTGCAGGAATTGCGTTACGCATTGCTTCATAGGGGATTGTTGCCTCCTAGGCATGATGATTATCATGCATTGTTAAGGTCTTTTTTTATTTTTATTTTTATTTGTTTATTTTGTTTATTTTTTTTTTATTTTTTTTCTAGTTTGTTTTGAATGTGGATTATGGTCGGTTGTAGGTTTCTTAAAGCGAGGGACTTTAACATTGAGAAGACAATTCAGATGTGGGAAGAGATGTTAATTTGGAGAAAAGAATATGGAACTGACTCCATCCTCCAGGTAATTTATCAACCACGCTGGCTAAGGAATTAATTAAATTTCTATTAATAGAAAAAAACGTAGACTTGTCTCTCTATTTAGATTTTTTTTTTAACTTTTAATATTGTCCAAGGAATTAATTAATGGGTAAAGGTTTTTATTTATTTATTATTATTATTGGAAACTATCATAGCGGTTTTGGATTTTTTTTTTTAATTTTAATTTCTTAATATCAAAAGTTAATGAATAGCGAAATCGATTTGAGTTCAGCGCTTTAAAAAGTTTAATGGGGTGCGGCGAACTAGTTCGGTGCTCTTGTTTTTTTCGTTTGTGGTTGTGGGTGTTGGTTAACTGTTTATTGGTTACCAGTTAATTATTGGTCCACACATCTATATGGTCGGAATCAATCACTAATAATTATTTTTATTTTTCAGCTTTTTGTGAAATAAATATCTTTAATAAAAGGAAAGAGGTTTTTATTAACTTAAATCATTTTGAAATTGTAATAACTTTCCATTGGAAGAGACGGCAGTTAGAGTCCCTATTGTGATCAGATTAGTTTTGGATAATTTGTAATAAGTCGTTGTTCGAAAAGTAGGAAGTTAGATATTATTGATTTATGATATTAATTAAAATTAATTCAAAAACTTAACTTAAATTGTCATCTGGTCACATCACAATGATCACATTTTGGCACATTATTGGGAGTGTTTTGACTTCTCAGGATTAGATAATGCAAGAGCACATAATAAGATGATAGTGAAAGCCTGAAAAGGAATCTAAATTTAACTCAATCTTTATTATTTCATTACATTATTTTGATATCACAATTGAATCTTTAAATAAAATTCTTCGTTTTTTTTTTTTTTTCATTTTTACTGTAAGCAGATTCGTAAAAAGTGTGATGTTTGTATATTTTAGAATTGGCATGGCATCTGTTCTTTGCTAGGATGCACTTGATACATGATTTAGTTGGCTAATTCCAAAGCTTTGTGATATTTGAAGGATTTTGAATTTGAAGAGCTGGAAGAAGTTTTTCAGCATTACCCTCAAGGGTATCATGGAGTTGATAAGGAAGGTAGGCCAGTTTACATTGAAAGGCTTGGGAAAGCTCATCCAGGTCGCTTGATGCGTATCACTACAATAGATTTATATTTGAAATACCATGTCCAAGAGTTGGAGAGGGCTCTGCAGGAGAAATTTCCGGCATGCTCCATTGCAGCAAAGAAACGGATATCTTCAACAACAACAATATTGGATGTACAGGGCTTGGTACGTCGTATACTTGTAACAAAAAAGCATAAAAAAATGATAGGACCAACCCAAGTCAGCTCCAGAACAATTTTCCTCCACCAAAAACTGAAAAAAGATTTCAACTTTTTATACGTAGATTCCACCCCAGAAGCAAAAGGCAGATGCTGCTGGCGTGGTGGCACGGGATCAAGCTATAAAGCATGGAACGAAGAAAGTAGCTTTACGGACTTATAACACCCACATTCTGTTTCAGTTAAAAGTCGGTATCTTTAAACTTTTTTTTTTTTTTTTTTTTTTTTTTTTTCTTTTCTGAAATCATGTGCCTCATCAATAAAATATAGTCGTGTATACCTTATATTTTGCACTGGTGTGTGATTATTGATTATTTACATACCTAAGCTTCAAGCATAGCATCAATTCTGCTGTCCACTTTCAGTGTTTTACACACCTATCTATTAATGGTGTTCTTGATCAACTATTTCTCAATGTCAGGATTGTTTTAAATACATTTTCCTG